TGGTATACACATTTTTAAAAACTAAATCCCCCACGGAATACGTATGATATTAACAAAATCTTCATCATCTACTATCCCTATACTTAGACCTTCATAGTAATCTTCAAATTCACAGTATGACACTTCATCGGACTTGCTGCAGGCATCTTTTAATGTTTCTAGAAAAGATGATTTGATTTCTTCCTCTGTGGAATGACCTGTAAAATAGTACTGGCTGTGAAACAATCTCCTTAAAAGTTCAGTAAAATGACTGATAATGGTAAAGTAACACTTAATCAGCTTAAGAAATCTTCTCAACAACTTGAAATCTTATGTCAAACTACCCTCCAATTCATTTAAACACTTTCTTGTGTGAACTACAATTTAATGGTGGATGACTTTAAAACATATTTGAAGCATCACTTAAGCATCTGGTAGGGTCTATTCTTTATGTGTATGCAAAACAGTAGTCACCACTTTAGGTATTCTTACATTTCTTAATATTTTAGAGGACTGAGCTTTATTTCCATTGGAAATTTGGAAAGAAGAAAACAAGTCAGAAAAATTTCACGCACTAGTTATTTTATCAACTACTTATAACTGCAGCTAGAAAATATTAGAGCAAACACATGATTTAGAGGCCTGTGAAAATCTTAGTTGGAAGTACTTTCACTTGATTAAATCGTTCTATTTTATCTGTGACATTAAGTAGACTATCTCTACTGGGTTCAATTAAATATGATTAACTTTTATCCTATAGGAAGATGTTATTGAGAACCACATGTAAAAAGAATAGCAAGTCTTTAGTTTGTTAAAGATAGAACATAAATTCACCTTTTTCTTAAATTCATTAGATTTTTTAAAATTTTTTAAAAAGACAGCAGTAAATTATTTAAATAATTACCTCTGATTACATTATGGCCAGTTAAGGGAGGAAGAGATCTTAGTGTAAGCACCATTTCTTTAGGAAGCCTTCACTGACCATCCCAAATCTTGATACTCCACCATAGAACTTATCTCACTAATTTGTCTGCCACCCCCAATGAGGGGGAGACTGTTCTCTTGTGGGTACTGCTCTACCCCGGGATCCTGGCATTGAATGTGAATTAAAAAAAGACACTCATCATTTTTCTTTTAATAAAAAAAAAAGGAATTAAAGATGAAAGGAAGGTACAGAAGATTGTCAGACAACACTCAAAGAGGGTAAAAGGAGGCCCATATGCAAAGGCAGAAAAAGGGTCAGAAGATAATAATAATCTTTCAAAGAACAATCTTCCAATCTTTGTGACCCTCTAAAATCTTTTAAAGTCATGTTTCATTTTAAAATGGCAAGTTTAAATGGGAATACCACCCTGTTTATCTAACAGGATGGACAAAATAAGGGTAAGAGTTGGATATTTTTCACAA